GCAGTTGCACCGTGACTGGGAGTCATGTCAATTGACTGCATTTTGCTCTGGTTAAAAAATTTTAAAAACAGGGTTAACTGAGATGATGGTTAATTTGTGTCATTATAGTAACCTTTATACTGTGCTCTATAGCATCATGTCTCTTCCTTAAATGTGTAAAATAAAATTTATTTTCAACAAAACCATCTTAGGATCTATGTTATTTCTTTACTTGGGTGAGGCTATATTTAGGTCAATCACTAAGGGACAGGTGTTGTCTAGTGACAGTCAGGCATGTGGGGGATATGTTGGAAAGTGTGAAACATGTTTTAGTAGATTTTGAATGAATTTTGACTAATGAGAATATATTAAAATGAGACATGAGACATCTGGACATGGTGATACACTCCCACTGTCCTAGAAATTGGGAGGCTGAGACATGAAGTTCAAGGCTAGACTGGACTAGATATCAGGGTCCTGTCTAAAGAACAATAAAAAACATACAAGGCATGCATAATCTGAAGAGAAGAATAATTTATTAATAAAGAATAGTTTTGATACACATGCTGATAATTTTTTTCAGCAATTAACTCTATATTGATGGTAGATAAGACCACGCACCAATTGTAAGTTATTTTGAAAGCAGGTAGACGTAGTATAATTGTGCTTCTCTGACTTCATACATACACCAGGGCATAGATGGAAGTAACAGGAAGACAAAAGAGGCAAAAGGTATGTTGTAAGCACCATCACAAAGTTGTGTACTCACTTGTGACCCTCTCCTTCATGGTTGGTGCTACATTGCTGGTTACTTGTGATAGAAACCATGGATCGTATTTATAAAAATCACTTATTTTTAACTGAAGATACATTTTGGGAGAAACAGATTTGTGAGAGATCATGTGAAGACTTCCTTTACTGCTGTGACAAAGTAAATTGTAAGACACTACGATATAATGAGAGACGGCAACACAAGCTGAGGGAGATGGGGAGAAGGCATATGTTTCATTCACAGAAGAAGAGCCCCTGGTACGTGGCATGTCAGTCAATATTCCTTTACACTGGGATGGGAACCCACCTGCTCACCTCATGCTTTTCAGTTCTGTAGAGTTCTATGAGGCCTGTGGATATCATCTTGTCCACGGCTGTGATTGACACAGGGACCCAGGAATGGGTTACTGTTAAGGCTCTGGATGTGGTGGTGACTAAAACAGGGCCATGTTATGGCTCTAGACCCACCTGTGGCTATGGTGACTCCGTTGACCACCATGTCCTCAAATGTTTCATGCATTCCTATAAATGTTTGACTTTCTGTTTTTTATGCCTTTAATTCTAATTTGTGAGGAATTTTAGGATGCCTGTGTTGATTTTCCTTACATTTCTCCTTATTGTTTGTGGACAGAGCCAGGCAACATGCTATTCCAGTTGAGTGTTTAGCCTATGGAGAAACTTAAACATACTTTGCACAATCAAGAGTTCTGACCTCTCTATCTGTATATTGTTGTTTATGTTGATATTTTAAAATATAGGTAATTAAATTAATCTCACAGGACATTGTTTTTTATTTGTGCTTATAAAAACCTTTATGATATTGTTAAACCATTTATCACTAGGTTGCTAAGAATGTCCAAAAGCACTGGTCTGCTTTGAGAGCTAAATGTAAGAACTGGTCAGGCTTCCTCTTTGTTTTTACCAGTTTCTCTCTCCAAACACATCACTAGCTACTGACCAATCTATTAAGCTATGTGTATACATTCAGTGAGTCCAGTATGACTTAAATTGTGGTAGCTTCTGAATAGTCTATTTTTAATTCTTTTTCTAAGCCATATATAATGTTCACTTTTAAGACACAGCTTATATATTCATAAGTCAGGGTAGAAAACTCTTGGGCAAGTCAACTCAGATAGAAGGAAAAAGGAAATGAGAGATTTTGCATGTAAAAGATAAATTATTATTAGGAAAATGAAAGACATTTCTTAAACTTTGGAAAATATTCACTAGTGATGAATTTCACAGCATGTATTCTCTCAACAACTAACAGTTGTGCATAGGATGTCAAACACGGGAGCTGCCTCTTCTTTTCTATTTTTATATTTCCACCATTTGCTTCATTATCTTATAGTCTCTTTATAATCTTTTTACAAGCTGTCTTTGCCACAGATTGCCTGGAGTAATTATTCTACAGGTGAAGTTGAAAGGGCACAAACTCTAAATTTGTACTGGGCATGAACCTAGAGTCCTTCTTCCTAACAAGAAGCTGTTTAAGGTCAGAGTTTGTGTCTTGGCTCCTGTTCACCATCTCAGCCACACCACATGCTCCAGCATATATAGATAGATAACTCTAATTTTTTTATGCACTAAGTTTATGGCTGCATTTTTTGTTTTGTAAATTTTGATTTTGTGGATTTTTTAATATAAAAAACTTTGCAAGAATATTTTGATTTACCTTCACATCAAACCCCAGGTTTCATGCAAGATTATCATCTCAATTTAAAAATAAGGAGACCACACACCAGTGAGTTCATCTCATGTGTGGAAGACTACCATTTCAACATGACTTCTTCATTTCTAATTTTCTTTTTATTTCAGTATATTAGTTACTGCAGAATTAATTATTGCTGACCTTGTTTTAATGCACTTTAAAGATAAGAAAATTGTATTTTTTACTTTCATCTCACAAGTTAATTTTAAAGAATTATGAATTTTATCTTTAGTTCTTTGCACAAAATCAAATATTCATTAAGGAATACTAAAGAAAAATTGAATGATTAAAAATTAGAAAATATAATAAGACATTAATGAGTCCTCAGAACACACACACACACACACACACACACACGCACGCACACACACACACACACACACACACACACACACACACACACACAGTGACTAATTTGTGAATACCACTACACTCTATAGGTATAAAAATACTGAATTCAATAAGTGATGCCTGTACAATTGAATATCATATGCAAAAGAATGAAGTTTCACTCTTTCTTTTGAGTATGCAAAAACACTACTTTAGGTCATAAAACTAAATACAAGATCTAAAATCATACAACTCTTATAAAAATATAGCAATAAAACTATGACCTTTAGGCAAAAATTTATTATAGTTAAAAAGTAGGCATAATAAAAGGAAAAATATTTATACATTTGACATTGTCAAAATTAAAAACTTTGGTTTTCAATGACGTGCTCAGAACAATCCATAGGATGGAAGAAAATGCAAACCATATAGCTTGTGACTGACTTTATACAGAATGAATGAGGAAATCTTCCACTTATACAGTGAAAAACAATCTGATTTCAACATGGACCTCCAGATTGAATAGTTATTTCTCCAGAGAAGATAGATGTGCAAGCAGCTAACAAACATAGGAAAGATGCTTGATGACATTAGCCATCAGACAAATGCAAACCACATTTTCACATGGCATCACCTTGTACCTGCTAGGATGAATGTTGGAAAAGATTCAGGTGACAGGTGTTGCTGATGATGTAGAGACATTAGGATGTTCACAGTAGTGAGGAAAACCAAAATGATACAGATGTTTGGAAAATAACCTGGAAATTTCTTAAAAGGTTAAACACAAAAGTGCATTACATAACCCAAATTGAGCTGCATGAACATAGCATTACTATTCATAATTGGTAACATATGGAAAAAACTTGTTTCTATAAGCTGATACGTGGGTAAATACTTTTGTGTACAATAGAACATTGTCAAACAATGAAAGAGTTGAGGTTCTGATATTTAAAAAATTATATAACTGATCCCAAACCAGTCATAAAGAATGTAACTGGTTTAAAACAGGTTATGACAAAAAATCATGACCAAGTGGACTTTACAACAAAAAGCAAGAGGATTCATAATGATTCTCTCCATCTTATCTATAGTACTTACTGAACTAGCCTGTTCATTTTTCCCTTACTATGAGGTTTTTGGGAAGCATTTCTGGTCATGCCCCTCTCCATTTTGGAGTAGTTAATTTTTCCTTTGTTCAGTGCTGAGGCATAGGTCCTTGGCATATTCTTCTCTTCTTCTGTCTATATTCGGGTGTTTCTTGTGTCCTTGGAAGTTTTCCACAGAAGCTCATGTCTCTTGTATAGTTTCTGGAATATTTCCACCTGAGATAGAGAAGAAACAAGGGAACTCTGCTGAAGAAATAATATGAATTTCCAAGGATGGCAAGGAGCAGAGAACTCTTTATAGTAGCTACGATTGACTGTTTTCGATGACCCAGAACCCAGAACACCCCAGAGATATCTAACTTGATAAATTTGATGGGATCTGATTTGACCTTTTCTGATTTTCATAATTTTTCTTTCTTTTTTTTTTTTTTGAGACAGTGTTTCTCTATGTTGCCTGTCCTGGAGCTTGCTCTGTAGACCAGGCTGACCTCGAACTCACAGAGATCAGCCTGCCTTTCCTTTCCGAGTGCTGGGATTAAAGGCGTGCACCACCACTGCCTGGCTCTGACTTTCATCTTAAAGAGAAACAAGTTGATTGCTTTTTATTTAAAAAGATTGTATTCACAAAATAGGGCAAACCCATGTACAAGATTTTACCCTTATTACTTTCAGACAAACATCCAGTACCAGAAAGAGTTTTAGAGAGAAAATAAAAAGTAAAAATCAGATTGTGTGGGTGAAACAAAATCGGAGAAGGTGCTGCGTGTTGAGACTGCTGTTTAGTTCTTACATTTTTATTTTGGAGCAAGAACCAAATAAATATTGTCAAAGTGGAGACAAAATAGTTTTTAGATTATCAGATCTCTAGAAGGATGGGTGATGGAAGAAATGAAAAGCAGACTCAACCATTAGAAAAATGTAAAAATAAGAAATTAAATTACTTTCCATGCTACAGAAAGCACAGCGAACTGCACTGGACTGTAACAATGTATCCTCTTTCTTTTGTGCTGTTTTCTACCCTTGCACAATGAGAAACAAAGCAGACAATTCTTCAGATTGCTTCCCTCCTCCTGTCGTCTCTCTAGGTGAGATAACTCAATTATGTGCTTGCTTAAGCAGCATGTATACTAAAATTGGAACGACACAGTAGATTCTCACGGCCTCTGAGCAAGGGTGACAATAGAGGTTTATGAAGCATTCCATATTTTTCTCAACAACTCCATTATTACAATAACCAAGCCAAGTAAAAACACAACAACAATAATAAGGAAAACAGCAGGCTAATATCCCTGATAAACATAGATTTTAAAAAGCCTTAATAAAATAGTTACAAACCAAACACAGACACACACCATGAGTTATTTTGTAAAGCAGTAAGTGCTTTTATTCCCCCCCCCCCCACTGACACTAGTAAAACTTTGGTCTCTTTGAATAGCTTTAGAAAGTTTTGAATTATTACTTTAGGCTATAAACAGCCCAGCCCAGATTCTTATAAACACAACATGAAATAAATACAAAACTGCATATGTCTTTGGCACCTTATCTAATCACACCCACAGAAAAGGTTGAGGTTTTCAATTGAGCTAAAGAAATTACCAATACTTGGTCTTTTTGAGATAATAGTTCTTATCTGAAGTTTAAAATAAAAAGTAGACACTAGTCCAACTGTTTCAAGTATTTCAATGAATAAATCTTACATACAAGTTCTTGATTTATGGAAATTCCCAATACTCAAATATTTGTTAGGATACAAAACTTATTGGTGAGATGATGTAATGTGGTGGTGTAACCAGGACCACATCTTTGTCTCTTGAATCTCTGAGGTCACTGATTAATGTGATCAACAGAGAAGCAGACCACAGATCTGGTTAAGCACTCCCTTGTTTTATTGGCAATTTGGGACCTTAGGCTTAATGCTGGGGAGGGAATCTGAAAGCAGAAAATCTCACACTTTTTATTTTTAAGGAAAGATTGCATTGGTATTTTGTCTAGGCATGGAGAAGACAGGATGGACTGAGAACAGTCGAGAAGAACATTTAATTTAACCATAGAGTCAAGAGTTCTTTACAGTGAGATCCTTGAATTGTCTTTGAGGTGAAAATTTAGAAAAAAATCAATCATGTGCTACAAAATGTATTGTGTAGCTTTGTAACCCGAATGCTGAAAGAACACTTGTTGTTGTTGCATGTGGTGTGTTTGTATGTACACAGGCAGGCCAGAGGTTGCTGTTGAATATCTTCCTCAATTGATCTTCACCTGGGTTTTTCAGACTATCTAGGCTGACCGGTCAGTGATCTCCAAAGATCTACCTACATCTGCCTCCCCATCACTGGGCTTTCAGATACATGCCACTTTTTTGTGTGTGCATTTTAGGGATCTTAATTTAGGTCCCCATGCTCATGTAGCAGGCACTTTATCTACTGATCCATCTCCCCATCCTGAATTGTTGCTTTCGAGTGAACTATTTAACCCGTATACAATGTGAAAAGTGACGACATGTACTTTTTTTTTTTTGCACTATTCCTGTCATTGAATCATTTTCTGTTTGTTCTGAAAACCCTGAACACTGTGGTTTATCTGGATGAGCACTGATGGTCTCATGTGTTGAATGCTGCTCCTGACATAAAATGATTAAAGCAACTGTTAATTGGTAATGATCTATGTTAAGTGAAAAATCAGGTTAGCGCATCACATGACATGAGTAGTTTCAAAGAATCATCAGTCATCCTCCCACTGCCTGTTGGGAATATGAGTTCTTGCCAGTGTTTTCATTACTTGGGTGTGCATGCCTTCTGAGAAGATGTGTAGAACTACTACTGGATGTGACTTGACATGATTTGCATGTTTGAAAATCATATACTGTAGTTCTCTTGTCTTGAAAGGGCCAGAAAAAAATAAATAATTAATATATGCTAACACAACTCACATGCTTTGTTATTGCACCATAAAACTGGGGAGTTGTTGGTTGCAAGCACAGGCTTAGTTATTATGAAATAAGTATTGTCTAGGTTACCAGCATCAACACTGACATAACTGAGCCTAGATAACATGGCCTTCTTTGGGCTTTTGCTTGACGTAAATTAGATAAACAGACAACTAGCTTCATCTGAATTCTGTAATTAAAGAAATAACCAGTTACCATTCTTATTTATGGTCTTCCCAATATTTAACAAATTACATTCTGTTGGTGATACGGAACTACAGAGAGGGAACTCACTTTATAATTGGAAGGGCCAGTCCATAAGCCATGCGCTGCTGGTAGGCCTATGCTCACACTGTTATAGTTACCTGGCTTGCTGTTATACTAGGATGGCAAGGTAAGTTTTGTAGCAGCGTCAGACAGTGTTTATAATAAAGCGCTGTGGTAGCTGTGACATTAGTCAGTGTACAGACTTAATAACTGGACCATTGCTTTTACGAGCATCTTTTGGGTGTGGTATACCCAGCGGAGAGGAATATCAGAGCTCTCATTACACATTTTAATCACTGTTATTCTCAAGTACTGGAAACTGGGTCATTTTCTCACTGAGCTTTGTGGGAACTTTTTCTTTTTTTTATCATTCCATGAAGACAGTAGAAGTTATCTTAATTGTTTGGAATTGCCAAGTGGTGGAGATCTGGAAATTTAATATCTTCTTCTAATACTCCTCCGTCACTACCTCAGGCACTTTCTCACTGAGGTCTGTTTATTTCCTAAAACCTCCCCTCCTTTGGAATGCTATTTCAACTGGTCTAGGCTTGGAATTCCCTGGCCTTTACCTGGTGCAAGAAATAGTCTCATGAAGACTATTTAACCATAGAGTCAAAAGTTCTTTACAGTGAGATCCTTGAATTGTCTTTGAGGTGAAAATTTAGAAAAAAAATCAATCATGTGCTACAAAATGTATTGTGTAGCTTTGTAACCTGAATGCTGAAAGAACACTTGTTGTTGTTGTATGTGGTGTGTTTGTGTGTACACAGGCAGGCCAGAGGTTGCTGTTGAATATCTTCCTCAATTGATCTTCACCTGGGTTTTTCAGACTATCTAGGCTGACCGGTCAGTGATCTCCAAAGATCCACCTACATCTGCCTCCCCATCACTGGGCTTTCAGATACATGCCACTTTTGTGTGTGTGCATTTTAGGGATCTTAGTTTAGGTCCCCATGCTTATGTAGCAGGCACTTTATCTACTGATCCATCTCCCCATCCTGAATTGTTGCTTTTTCTTTGATATAGTTTTTCCAGATCATTATTGTAAGAACTAATGTCTTATGTCCAACCACATTTGATGCATTTAAATCTAGCAATTGTGCTGCATATGCACAGAGAATGAGCATGCAAGATAAACAAGAATAAATCATCCCACTTATGATATTAATAACCTTAGGAGAAAACAAACAAAAGCAACATGATAAAGGATGTAGCAATGTTATACCTAGCATTCTGTTGTTTTGTTTTTAATTAAGACTTACGAATCTTTACTTTGTATATAAGATTAAAGTGAACATTCTATATTCAGCAAAATATAAAATTATTTTTTCTTAATTCTTGTGTTTAATTTACCCCTCTGCAAAGCCATTAGCACTGTTTAGTATAAAAGGATCTGTTAAACACTTAATAAAAGAAGAGAAGACTGGTCTTGCCCGCTGTCTGCCTGATGGAGGTTGGCCACATAGGCAAGAGTTCCACGAGAAAAGGCAGGGTGTAAGAAAGACCTGGGAATCTTCTTGTCAACTAAATGTAGAAGCTATTCATTAGCAATCTATAGTTCATGTCCATGTGCTGTAGGTAGTTTCGGTAACTTATCAGTTGCTACGCCACTGAGGAAAATGACACTTCCTGCCCTAACCACCATTAACTGCCAAGAGCTCCTCATGGAGGGTGGGACCTCATTAGTACATGCTCTAGCCACAATTGTATATTAACTGGCTTGTGATTATCATAGGACACTTAAAAAATTCTAAATTTATTCCTTGACAATTTCATGTATGTATAAAATATATTCTGATCATACCTACCTCTACCATTTCTGATTCCCTTGCCATCTCTTCTAATCCTCCCCTTTCTCCTTAAAAGTCGCTGTAGCAGGAATCTTAAAAGTTCTTATTAATAAAATCAAACCTGAGACCAGGTATTGGGGTGAACACTGGAAGATCAGAGAGACAGAACAAGCCACAGCTAACCTCACCTGGCCAACTTCTTGGCTGATCTTGTTTCCTCAGACTGGAAGCCTCTGTGTCCTCATATCTGAATGGCTCTCAGCTGAACTGTGCTTCTCAAAACCTAAAAGCTTAACCAGCCAAAATGCTTCTAGTTTCTGGTCCTCATGCCTTATATACCTTTCTGCTTTCTACCACCACTCCCTGGGATTAAAGGCTCGCTTTCTGGGATTAAAGGCGTGAGTCACCATGCTTGGTTGTATCCTTGAACAGATGGATTTCTGTCTCTGAAATGCTAGGATTAAAGGCATGTGCTACCACTGCCTATCCTCTATGTTTTATATTGTGGCTGTTCTGTCTCTGACCCCAGATAAGTTTATTAGGGTGCACAATATTTCGGGGAACACAATACCACCTCAGTCCCTCTCCTGATTTTATGTCATTTTGTGTTGTGGCCTATTGAGTTAACCAGGGATATACACATGACGGGTGGTTTTAACTAGTCACTAGAACATAGGAGACTCACCATTGTCTACACCACTGAATCCAGTGACTCCTTCTCCATCAGCATCCATCTACAAATAGTCAATAGATCCCAGGCAAGGGATCCTCGAGAGCCCCAACCACCATCCATGAATAAGGATTAAAAGGCCCAGTCTTGTGAAAAAACAAAACAAAACAAAACAAAACACAGTTGCAATAAATTCATGAGTGAACCAGTCATGTAAGGCCAAGAAGATATTGTTTCACATCCCTCTTCCTCATTATTCTTTCTGTCTCTTCTTCAGGGTTGTTGCCTGAGTTTTGGAAGGAGTGATATAGATGTCTTAGGGATGGGCATTCAACAGTTACTTAATCTCAGAACCTTGAGTAGCTATGAGTCTCTTTATTCTCTTCCATTAGGTGCAAAATGAAGCTTTTCTGAACAAGGTTAAAAGTAGTACTTGTCAACAGGAATATACAACTATTTAGATGGAACTTTGACACCACATTTATTTAGCAAAACAACAAGATTAAGATCCACTCCTTCAAAGCTCCACCAGCTATGTTTAAGAACATAAGGCTAATAA